GATCTCATCAATGTGTACAAGTATCTGAAGGGAGGGCGTCAAGAGGATGAGGCCAGCCTCTTCTCCGTGGTGCCCAGCAACAGGACAAGAGGCAACGGGCACAAACTGAACCACAGGAAGTTCCATCTGAAGCTGAGAAAAAACTTCTTCACTGTGAGGGTGCCTGAGCATTGGAACAGGTTGCCCAGAGAGGTAGTGGAGTCTCCTTCGCTGGAGATATTCAAAACCCGTCTGGATGTGATCCTGGGCAATGTGCTCTAGAGGACCCTGCTGGAGCAGGGAGGTTGGACTAGATGATCTCCAGAGGTCCCTTCCAACCTAAACGATTCTGTGATTCTGTGGTTCTGTAATAGAAGGATTGTACCATCTGGTCTTGAGAAGTGCTTAGCATCTCCAGCAAGACGTTGGATAAACTCCAGTGGAGGTCAGCAGAGACCTGATGCCACTGAACATTGCAGTGGGGTTGCCCATTTTGTATGGTCTAGTATGCATATCATACAAGCATTATCTGTGGTCTTATCTGGGCAGTGGGAATTGTTCAGTGTTGCCAGAACACTACTGCGGCCCCACGTGTGCTGGCCACGATGAATGCTAGAATAGTCAGATTAAACCCGGTTTTACCTCCTTGCCTTCTTAAGGTAAGCAGAGATTATACGATATAATGATACATGCACCAGTTGCTTATTAATCCCTAGCACTGTTGGACTGTTTCATTATTACTTGACCAGTTACCAAACTCCTCATTGTAGAAATAATCTTACATGCATTTTTCACTTATTCTTCTCTCCTGCAGATGCATAGCTTGGTTCAAGGTTATTAAAAATGTAAACAGATCAGGTAGTGCAACAATCTTATGTTTATCATTTCTGTCTTTGTCTTCATTTTTACTCATATTTACACTGAATTGAGCATAATTTAAAAAAGATGAAAGAAGAATGGCGGTGGCCCCCGAATTACCCTTCACAACAAATGATTCTCAAAACTAATTCTAAAATATGAAGGGCAGATTTTTTTTACTGCAGCTGAAAAACAGCAGAAGGTGCTTTTAGTGGCGCTACAGTATACCATGTGGTATACTGTGACAGAAGCCAGCAAAGGGAAAGGATGGACAAGCAGACAGTTGTATTAAAGGTAACCAAATACAAAACCTTTTGAGCAAATAAATTCTGTACATGGCGGTGGCTGAGTCAATTACAGGTCCTCTCAACTATTAGTATGCCAAAACAGACAATATGCAGACAGTTTTAATAACAGTGGCAAGGATAATCTGAAGATTAACATGCAAAATGGATTGCTATTTTTGATTTTGCCCTATATTTATTTGAATTTAAATTTATTTTCTTTTTCTATTTTACCTTGATGCATTTCCTCTCATTAGCAGCAATCAATTCTTTAACGTGTTGAAAATTGGATCATTATCTTTTTTAAAGAATGGACAGGGCTTGAGAAGAAATGATAGAAAAGGTAGCTGCTGTAAATTGCTAAATATCCCTCTGAAAAAAGTATCAGAAATTTATTATTAAGAGGTTACAGGATATACTGCTTGATAAGTGGCATTCTTCATTCGGTGTGAGTATTGCGTCAGTGCCCTAACATGATGTTATGGCACTGTGATTTTGAAGATTTCATCTGTCAGCTGAGATGTACAACTGAGATCTTAACCTCTAATGATTATAGATTGTCTCATGGTGTTTTTCAAAAGAAAAGAGATAATATGCCAGTTCCAGCTGGATCTAATCTGCTTACCCAAATTATCCTGCCAACTGAATTATGTATATTTTTCTTTGCTTTCTGCTATAAAATTATGTTGCTAAACACCATCATTTCATTGGGGAGTAATATAAACTCTGTGGATGGTTTGCCTTAATTCAAGCAAAGCAGAATAAAAAGTAACTGCCTAGTCGCTACATAGACAAAACTATTGCTATTATTAAAATGTTACTGTCCTGACTACCAAAATGAACTTCTAACATTAAAAAAAAAAATAGAGATTTCTCTCTTTCCTCACCTTTTTTTTTGATCATGGGATACTTTTTTATGTAGCTCTTGTCATCTGAAAAGTTGTAGGGTACACAAGAAGTTGTAGCTCAGCATTTCAGAACCTCATTATGTCTGGAGGGATGCTGAGCTCTGCAAGATGAATAGGAGGAATTTAGTTAATCAAGCAGAAATATATTTTAACTGTCCCCTAGTTATTATCAGTGGGTGGCATTGGCAAGAGTCTAGTGCAAAGAAAAGTTTGTAGTGCTAACTGATTTGAAAAGGGACTTTTCTAGTGGTAATACATAGGAAGAAGCTGCACCCCTGGAAGTTTAACTCTTTATAAATTTGCTAATTCTGACTTCTACATTTAAAATTAATTTAACTCCTCATAGTTTAAAAAAGAAAAACAAAAAACCTTCCGCATGCCCATAGCATTTCTCCAACAAGATAACTGATGGTGATGCTGGAGAAGAATTGTTTTGTTTATAGAATGGATCCCTACATCTTTTACTTTATTTTAAAAGGAAAAAGTGAATTAATTTAACTATTTTTATATCTTTTCTGATTTCTTCTAGAATCCTGTGATTCATGGGTATCTAATCTTTGATTGATTTTACTATTGTACCTGCTGAGAGCACTCAGTGTTTCTGCAAAGGCATAAAAATTGTAATTACGTTCCTTGGTGGATCCATTTGTGAATTTTAGTTTTGATTCTGAATCTAAAGTTATTTTTATTCGTAATTCTGGCATAATTCTATAGTGAATTTGAGCTAAAAGCCCCTTGAGAACCCATCTATGGTTGCTGATGTTTGTATGTGAGTCATTTCTATGGCTTTGACTTTCCTTTCGGAGGGAACAGTCCATAGAGCTTAGTATTTGCTGTGAGGATGATCTGCAGTAGAGAGGGAATAATTGGCACCGGTGGGCAGATGATGCACAGGATGGTTATATACAGCTTACTGGCCCATTGTGATCTGTTCCTTGAGGATTATGAACACATTTTAATTCCTACTAAAAAGAACTGACTTGGCTTTTAGAGAACAGCTGGATTCTCCCCCAGCTGGTGCAGGGAAGTATGGTTAGGTCTCAGTTCTCTGTGGCACAAAGGTTCCTTCTACCAGTGAATAGTCTCAGAGGAAGGTGGTAATGGTAGGTATCACTGCCTGCCTCAGGGTCTGCATTTTACCTGGGGGGCATAAGAAATGGGAACAGCGGCAAGGGGGATGTTACGTATTAACATATTGTCTCACTCACTTTCCTCCCTCCAGCTGTTTTCTCTACAATCTGTATTGAGTGCTGACAGTGGGATGGTTGCAGTTGTTTTCCACTGCTACCACTTGTCCACTAATGAACTTTCTGTTGTAATTAGGAGTTTTTTGCTGGATATTCCAGCTGGTTTTGAACCCAGGGTATTCTGCTTTAAAATAAGAAGTTTCTTTCCTATTTGCTTTGGCTGTACAGCAGAGCAGAATACACCAAAGGAGCTTGCTCAAGTGGTGGTGCTTCTTAAACTAATATGCTTCATTTGTCACTAGGGCTGTTTTGTCCAGGTGATACAGAATTAGAGTTGTTGTGATTCCAGTCTGTGAACTGTCTCATTACTGCTACTTCAGGTATTTCTACCTAACTGTATAGAATTATGCTTTGCACAGAGTAGATATCCTAAAGACTCTCTAGATGGTAAAATAATTTTGTTAACCTCCTATGTATACCAGCCACTGTGATGAACAACGGCACTTGTCTTCACAAATATTTTCCTCCCTTCATCTCTGTAATGCATATTTCAGCACCAAAAAGATAATACACCCTTTATGCTAGAGCTGATCAGTTTTGTGGTTTACAGATCTCATGCCACCCAGAAAGAGCATTATGAAGGACTTTACTTTATTTGTAAAATTTATTTGTACTTTACAAGAAATGATTTCCTTTGTAGTTACGTTTGGCTCACTGTGTTTTTAAAAATAAGACTGAATTGTATACTTCTTTAGAGAGCTATTCAGCATATCTCATTTTGTTGTCATTGCAGCAATCGCTGAAAAGAAGAGGCAGCAAAGACTTGCAAAAATCAGAAAAAAAGTCACAGCAGACACCAACGGAGGTATGTTAAAATAACAGGAGCCTGGATGCTCATGTTGAGGCTTGAGGGATATTATGGAAATGCATGTGATCTTGCAGATTTGCACTTCACTTGCTTGTTTGCTTTGGTCTTTGTTGTTCTGTATGCTGTGAAATGGAGAACTCTGACCTGAGATCTGCAGTAAGACGACACTATGTCAAGGACCACCTGAATGAACTGCTGGTGCTGCAACAGAGCCCACCAACTTTAATGTACTGTATACTTTAGGCAAAATAAGTAAATGGAAGCACCAGTGAATCAAGACTATAGGCCCTTTGCATACTGGTTTCAGCATTTTTGGACACTTTATAATGGGAAGCAGTTCTAGTTACTTGGCATTGGAGTATGTAATTTAAAAAATCATCTTTTTTCACTTGTTGTGTATAGCAAGTGTAGAAAATACAAGTTTTTTTATAAGGGGCCCCCAAAAGGTATTTTCTGGGGACTGTGCAGGCTTTCATTGCAAGTACTGTAGGCTTTCTTCTCATTTTTTGTTTTAGATATATTTTTTCCTTTCTTTAATTTACTGATCAGTGAAAAAAAAATGATGGTAACAGAATCTATTAGTATCTGAAGCTAAGTACTTTTGATTGTTAATCTTGTAATTTAAGATCATCCACTGGAGGTCTCCTGTTTTACATCAAGTTTCTTCAAGTAATTCTTTTTCTTTTTGCTAAGGAGGATAATGAAGACCTGAAGTGCCAGTTGCAATTTGTCAAAGAAGAAGCAGCCTTAATGAGGAAAAAAATGGCTAAGATCGATAAGGAGAAAGACAGATTTGAACATGAGCTGCAAAAATATAGATCATTTTATGGCGATTTGGACAGTCCCTTGCCAAAAGGTGAAGCAGGTGGGCCACCTACTACAAGAGAAGCTGAACTCAAGCTTCGATTGAGACTTGTGGAGGAGGAAGCTAACATTCTTGGGAGGAAAATAGTGGAACTAGAAGTAGAAAATAGAGGACTAAAAGCAGAGCTTGATGACTTAAGAGGAGATGATTTCTCAGGGACCGCTAATCCGCTCCTGGGAGAGCAGAGTGAATCCCTGTCAGAACTGCGACAGCATTTGCAGCTAGTAGAAGATGAGACAGAATTGCTGAGGAGAAATTTAGCTGATTTGGAAGAACAAAACAAGCGTGTAACAGCTGAGCTGAACAAATACAAATACAAGTCTGGGGCCCATGAGAGCTCTAGGCACCATGATAATGCCAAGACAGAAGCACTACAGGAGGAGCTGAAAGCTGCACGAATGCAAATCAATGAGCTGAGTGGCAAAGTCATGCAACTCCAGTATGAGAACAGAGTATTAATGTCCAACATGCAGCGCTATGATTTGGCCTCTCATCTTGGGATCCGTGGCAGTCCCAGAGACAGTGATGCTGAAAGTGATGCAGGAAAAAAAGAAAGCGATGATGATTCCCGTCCCCCTCACCGCAAAAGGGAAGGCCCCATTGGTGGGGAAAGCGACTCGGAAGAGGTGCGCAACATCCGGTGCCTGACGCCCACAAGGTCTTTTTATCCTACACCAACTGGGTGGCAGAAAAGCTTCACTGACAGGCAGCAGATGAAGGACATCCGCTCTGAAGCTGAGCGACTAGGCAAGACAATAGATCGCTTGATTTCTGACACAAGTACCATCATAACAGAGGCAAGAATTTATGTAGCTAATGGGGATCTGTTTGGACTGATGGACGAAGAGGACGATGGCAGCAGAATACGTGAGCATGAGCTTCTCTACAGGATCAACGCACAGATGAAGGCGTTCAGGAAAGAACTCCAGACTTTCATCGACAGACTTGAAGTTCCAAAGTCATCAGATGACCGAAGTGCAGATGAACCTTTGTCAGTGAGTCAGGTAGACTTTTACTTATTACGGCCTACAGGTAAAAAGGCTCTGCCAAATGAATTAAGCCTAAAATTTGATGTATGGCACCTTAAAATGTGCCATACATCTGTTTGTTCTGTTACAGAATCTCTATTTCCTAAATTATTTTAAATCCCCAGTTGGCCATAAGAATCCTCTTTCCATCGATGGGGTTGTTTGTGAACAATGACTAAGTCTCATCCCCTTGAAATTAAAAGAATAATACCATAGTCACAAGTATTGGAGGAGGTAGAAGATTTTATTTCTTCTTCTGGCTTTGCAAGTGCATTTGCCAGAATTGTGCCATCCTCACGAGCAAAGGCAGTGCAGACAAGTTTTGGCATGAAGCAGTGCTGTGAAACCACTATTGAAGTTATTTTCATATTTTCACAACAGAAATGAAAATGAACATGGTTGTTTTCTTTGTAGTTGGCGTCGTGTTAAATGAATAAAAAGAAAATCCCAGTAATTAAAAAGAGGAGGAAGCATACAGTTTCCAAAATGATAAAGACATGACGAACCATGGGAAAAAGTAAATTGTGAAAATCTGTTTTTTAGAGTCAAAGAACGAAACTGCAGTATGTGAATAAAGGAACTGCTGAAATTGATTGTATCATTGGTTGAAGGGCTGTGGGTTGCTGCTGTCAGGTAGCGGTGGCTCGTGTCTTTTGTGCAGTTCCATTCTACCTCTCTCTCTCATCCCTGAAGAGAAGGGCCAGCAAACATCCTGCATACATTGTGCAGAGTTGTTCCAGAGTTCCCCAGGTTTTGGGGAGCAAATTCCTTCCTGACTCGCAGCTATTTTCTTTTGCCATGAGAAATGAAAGTTACTTAAACTTATCTTGTCGTGCAGTCCTATAGCTGACAAATACTGTTATCGTGCAGAGTATTATCCCAGTGTTTTAGTAAATCTGTTGTGTTAATTCACTTTGTGCTGTCCTGCTAGTTTACAGTCAGAGTAGTTGCCAGGTGAAGCTGAAAGCTATTATTTCTTATTTGTATGCTGACTAATTAGTCTTTTGTTTCCTTGTATCAGAAAGTCACAGACGCAGTGAGTTTAAAGCTAATCAATTACTATACATGTACTGCATGAAATGAAACAGAAAAGGCATTTTAGCATGCTCACTTTCTGATGTAGCAATAGCTCTAAGCTTGTAGAGCTCCCATTAACTTAAAGATAGAGCACTGCATGTTCTCATACAAACTTAAAGTAAACTAATTAGTATTTTCTCTAAAAAAGCAGTAGTCAAATTTGTCTTCTCAGGACGTGACCATGCAGAACGCCTCCACAAGCGTAGTCAAATTCACTATTTATTTTGCTGAAACTTTGGACTTGCTGTTCCATTAATTGACTGTTCTCTTTGTCTTTGTATTTACTTTCCTAGATGTTCCAGCCTATCATTTTACTTATTCTCATCCTAGTATTATTTTCATCCCTTTCATACACAACAATATTTAAACTTGTCTTCCTTTTTACACTGTTTTTTGTACTGTAAGCCATTCATCATTTACTGTTCATTGTAGTATTATTTTCAGTTTGTTTATTTTGTCCACCCTCCAAGATAAGAAGTGCAAGAGACATAGTTTCTGTAATAGCCACTGCTGTAAAAACACTGAAGACTACTTGTTTGCCAAAAAACAAAACAAAAAAAACCAAAAAAGCAAAACATCATATACCAAAAAGTCACCCAGTTGAATAGGAAACCTCTCACCAAGGTATTCCAGGTAAGCAAACAAAAACCAGTATTTTTCAATTTGTCTGATTTTATCATTTTTAAATAAAATAACCTTGAGTGAATTGAACAAATTTAACTAATATTCATTAATTTTGTGCCAAACTGGAAGCAAAACAGAATGGTGCAGGGTGGGTGTGAGGAGTCTGCTCCTTTTTCCTTTCCACTTCCAGAAAAATAATTTGTATTCTACCACATATGAATAGTAAAACCACATTCAGTGTGTATTCTGCAATTGTATTTCACAACTTGTATATGTTCTGCATGATTTTGATGATACTATTTTTCGGCATTGTATTATGTGGATTAGACACCCAAGTTCTACCCTGTAGTAACAGTTTTGCATTAGTCTGCCACTGAAGAGATGAAATTTTGCAACTTCTCATTACATTACTGAGAGTTCTGGATTTGCAGCTCATTTTAATTCAGGCCTGTAATGTGAACATGATACCTTAGGCTGGAGAACTGCTTGGTTACTTCTGTGGTGAATGGAATTTGATGTGGGGGGAGAGGGAGGGAGTGAAATTGGAACGGTTGATGTAGAGCACTTATTTGGAAATGGGGCAAGGAACCTGAGCCCACTGAGAATGACATAGGCAAGGGGGATGCATCAGAGTAAGGGAGGAGTCTTCTGAGAGCAGTAGGCTGGTTGCATCCTGTATTTATTCTAGAAAAATGGCCACGCAGTATGGCGCGAATGGTCAAAAGTCAGTGTTCTGACTTGAACTAAAACAAACAATGCTAGTTACCTTGTCTGATATCAAAACAGCATTTCCTAACAACCTACTTTATCAGAAAACGTTTTCCAGTATAGCCTCACAGCTGCCAGGGCCCTGGTTGCTCTCATTCAGGTTTCAGAAGAAGTTTAGAATGAACATAATGACCCTTGGCTTGGTGAGTAACCTTGCTGTCTAACCATGCCAGAGGTGAGTGACCACACATGAGGGAGGCTTGTGTGCATATCTATGCTTCTCTGCATTGATGATCACTGTATATTCCTGTCTTGCCTACAAGAGGCTGCAGTGAGAACAGAGGTGACTCACAATAACCCTCCCCGTCACACTGAAACCGAGTAGTTGTTATGAGTAGTAGATCCTCCACTGTGAAAACTTCATTTGAAATGCCCAATAGAGCTCCGTTTTGTTTTCTGATTTATTCAGTCTATTTTGAAACCATCCAACAGATCTGAATGCTCCAAAGTCCATTATTTACAAGTACGTAAGTCTATTAGTGAAGATTTATTAGGCAGATGCCATGATAAAGGATCTGGTAATAAATACTGGTATTAAGTAAAGCAGCTGCTTTTTCACATAGCAATAATGATTCCTTTTGATTTATCATGCCAGCAGTTTGTTCACTTCACTTGTTCCCAAGTGAGAACAGTTCACCTCCATGCCTCTCCCCAGCTAAGCAGAAGCCTGCCAAAGGTTGTGCCCTGCTGCATGAAATAATTCTGTTTTGAGAGAAACCGCTCGGAGGTGAGCAGAGGTTAGGTAATGGAATTTATTTTGTGGGAACTGAAAAGATAGTAAACTCACAACATTCAGAATTAAACAAAACTGATATTTTTCTCCTTATTTCTCTAGCTTTGCCTCAGCACGCTCTCTTCGAGCATAGCATCAATTAATTCACCCATACTGATTTAATCTATATATTTATTCCTACCCAGGGTTATTGTCTTTATTATTTATTTTGAAGTTATTGAGAGGTATGTAAAGAAAATGATAATCAACAAAGAGGTAAAGAGATGAATAGATCACCTGGTCTGGTATCCTGATTTGAGAGAAAGTCAGGCCCAGAGTAATCTAGAAGAGTTGCTAAGCTGCTTTAATTTATGCTCAGTTGCTTAAAAGTTAAATTCCATGTATTTGGAATTATTATGACAATGCCTGGTCTAATCACATCTTCCCTTGACAGTGAATTTCTGTAACCTTAAAGATAGTTCTCAAGCCACAGGATGATCACTGGGAGAAGACCCTTCTGCTTTTCTGTCAGTCATCCAGATTTCTCAGCAAGTGTCTGATAAGTTCCTTTTTTCCCACATGGATTTGCATTGTGGACCATAAAAAAGTAATAACTCTAGGCTTAAACTTGTCTTATCAAATCTTAGCACAAGACTGACTTTTTGTTTTTCTTTTTTTTTTTTTTTTAGTATCCCCTTTGGGGGAAGAAATATCATTTTCTTAAATGTTATTGAATAAGTCTCATAAAGGAGAAAAAATCATACTCAAATCTGATCTGGAGTTCTAGGCTTTTGGATTTTAACTCATACTTATCCCTTCCTCAGTCTTGTATATATTAAAGATGAGTAGAGAGAGCTTGATTTACATTGAGTGTATCAGTATCAGTACTAATGTAAAATAGTGGGAAAACATAATACACTGAATTCACATGTTGAATATGACTTGGCAGTATTTTGGAAAAGATGTGCTTCATTTTCAGATATCAAAGAAGGTAAATGTCTGTGAACACCTTGAGTCAAGAGGTGGAGATACCTCTGCACAGGACTGGCAATTATAACCTCATTGATTTCTCACAATGGTTTTCTTTGCATATACCTTTAGATTTACTTCATGTGAATTGAACTTTTCTGACCTTAATTCAGTGAGGCATCAAGAAATGAAATCAAAGTTCAGGATTTTGGGACATTTAGGGAGCTATTACAGCAGCTGACAGTCTGAAATGAAGGGATACCAAAGCATCTCAAATCATTTCAGAAGCTTCCCACAGGCCTTATATCTGTGATGAGCAAGCAGAACTGTGAGGACCCCTGCAAACCTCAGTACAGAGAAATGTCTTTGAGAAATGAGACATTTTTATCACAGCCTTCTGCATCCAGCTTGAAGGGAACAATGAGCTACTTATTTTTTTCACACTAGATACTGCAGAGAAGTTCACAGCCCCCCCTCCCCCCACCACCATTCTTCACTATTTTAAAAGCTGCTGAGAAAGCTAATAAAATCAACACAGGGATCTATCCATAGCCAGAAGGTAACATGTAGCCAAAGAAATAAGCACTCTGTCTTGCTGAATAGAAATGACTTGGTCTCACAAAGAAATGTAGCTTTACTTGTCAGGAAAGGAAGCAGATTCTCTCCACTCAGTTACTGGCCTGGTGGGCAAAGTCCATCTCACAGGTCGGTTAGCAAATTCAGTCCAACACATCTACATCCTCTAGCTGAAGTGCCTGGGAATCAGGCAAAGAAGGGTGGCTGCCCTCCTCGCATTATCATGCTGGCCAGAGCACCAAACAGAGCACTGCTAATTCATTAAATTCTGTCTGCCACATAGAATATAATTCTAAATAGCAAAAATAGTAAGAAGAAGAACATAAAATATTACTTTAATGTGGCAACAAGCCAGATATGCCAGGTTATCTCTATGTTCAAATCTCAGTTATGCTGATGGCAGATTCACAAATAACTTCTTAGAATGTGCTACAATAAGAAAATGTAAAACAGTTTTTGCCTCTGTTGATCGGTTGAAGAACATCTTTGTAGCAGTACTCTTGTTGTTTCAGATAAAAGGAGGAGCGGTTCTGACACTCCTAGTTTGTTTTTCGGAGGCGTTGCCTGTGATTTGCAGCTCCCCTGCTAGTGATCTCTTCTCTAACTGTTGATGTTTGTGCTAGTGGCATGCAAGTGTAGTAAGAGAAACACAGAGAAAATTTAAGCAAGAGCAGTGGCCAAATTGTCATTGACTGAACAAAAGCCAGGCATTTCTGAAGAGGCAGATACCTGTACCGTTGGTTTTTCCTGTGCGGAGCTGCTCAAATGATGCAGACCTCGCTAATATAAACACAGGAAGTATAATGAAGTTCATCAATTACTTGAGTGGACACGCTATATATGCTTTAATATGCATAATATTTCAGAGTTTAAAGAAATGTTTATCATTGCTCTCTAAAACCTATGATAAGAGGAGGCTGAATTAACCCAAATTGAGGTAGGTTTTTTTTTCAAATGAAGGAAAAGCCTGTCAACAATAAAGCATCTGGTCTAGGTCAGTGAGGCAGGGTTAATATTTGTAAGTGTGCTTAGAATAAAGTTCAGATGTTAAGGAAGCTTTCACCATCATAGTAAACAACCTTTATGGAGCACATTTCATCTAAAAGATCATCATTACAGCTTACGTTTTAAGTTGCCCCAAGTCATTTCATGAACAAATGAAATTGTCCAGTTCCTCTGGAGCACAATATAGAAATGACACGAGTATGCAGTCCTAGAAAACTGTGAGACGCAATACTTTTTGCTGCTGATAGGTCCAGTGAAGTAAATGAGGCAACTCATACACAGCTCTGAGGTCTAAGTGTTAGAAAGATTATGTAAGAGTACACAGAAATGTTGCACAAGCTTTTAATGAAGGGGATGTGGTAAGCGACATCCGTTTGAAATGAGTGGAGGAATCTTGTTCTGTGGAATAGAATTAATGCAAGTCTGAACTTGGGCAGGATATTAGCATTAATATTCCATTCTTGCAAAAAAAAAAAAAAAAAAGTTGAATTTTAACCCCAAGATTGCCTTAATTTTACATTACTCTGAATGCACACTCACAGCGTGCCTTCCACGTTCTTCCAGAAAGAAGAGATCTTCTGGCATATATAGATCTAATCCTGATGCTTTTATACCTATGTAAATTGGAAATAGCTCAGATGAATTTTTATGTCATTTAGCATATGCATTTTTTCCTGTAATGCAACCAGAGAAATGCAAATAATTGTGTCCTATTTAAAGTCAGCTCTGAATGCCCTGACAGTATACTTCTACAAATATTTTCTTCACTGTTACAGAAGAATTCCCATGATACTAGAGTGATCATCTTCTCCAGGATCAATGGTATTACTTTCAACTAAAAATAACTATGTCTGAAGCCCCAGTTAAAGAGAGCGAGTAAGTGTCTGCTGACACATGTCACCAGTGCTTCAGAATC